CCGGGAACGGTTATGAAGAACTAAGAAACTATCTTTATAGTTGGGTGTCCACAGTATCACCCTTGTGCAGAAGCATATATTTAGAGAGTTATATCCAACTTTTGGGGCTCATTGTTGATTGTTAAAGGGCTCTGCTACAATTGGAGCTGCAAGGGAAATCATGGCAGCAAATGGCTTACCTTGGTTTGGGTTTGCACTTGAGCCTGCATGCACACTCGACACACTACAACTGTTTTAAGTTGATGTCCTAGTTGATGTATGGTCCGACGTCAAGATAATTTTACCATATCTCCAACGAAGATACTTCTCAAACAGCTCGTCTTTCTGTAATAAAATTGCTGACATAAATTTCTGTTGATCAAGTCATTACATCTATTCTAAATAATATTACAACGTCCATTGATCCTTTTTGAAGAATCAAGGTGAATAAGCCATTCTAAAGAAAACATTACATCCATTTCAACTGATCAAATTATCAATGAAATCCTTCTTTTTTTTATATATATATATATATAATGGGGTAGAATTAATAACTTCTGCTAGTAATCACATTCTATGAAAATGGTAAGATTACAGAACTGTTTCTTTGCTGCCATTAGCTCGAAATGACTCCTTTGTTATTCCGTAGTAGACTGGTACTTCGCCTACAAAGGTAATGAAATTCCACCTGAAAGCAGACCCACCAATAATATATGTCCCTTGAGTTTGACCATCTTTGCTTGTGCCCAAGTTGAGTTCCTTCAAGTCATCAACAGTTGCCTGCCCTCTGTCCTTGAGTTGTGGCGGAGCTTCTTTGATGTCTTTTTCAAAGACTTCCTCCTCATCAACCTCTACAACTGCAACATGGTATACGCCTTGGACCATGTCTTCTTCGTCATCCCCTTCGGCTCGTTGGTTCGAGGATTGACCAGTGCATATGGTTGTGCATCGGTTCACCTTCAACTAACTGTTCGAACTCACGTCCAATGTGGACTGGCGTTTCATGGGCGAAGGGATTAGACTTCAAATCTCATCATACCTGGCTAGGTCGACATGTCTTTCTTTTTTCTGAAACCGGCTTTCTTTTCCTAAAAGGCTCTATTACCGTTTCGAGTGTGGTGTAGGCCCCATGAATGACGCTGCACCAGTTCATTGGTGAGAAAAGCTGATGTGGAGCATTATCACGTGGGTGAGGTTTGTTTCCCACTCAAAATAACCATTGGGACTCACTCTTTGAGTCCCTCTACGATCCTCAAATTTGAGGATTTTTTTGAGATATTCAGCGAGTCCCTATATATTAGGATAATTTGATGACCTCTGTTTCGGCACATTAAAAGCCCCTTGTCCCTATATTTAGAGACTATATGGCTATGAAACTCCATCTAGGATCCCTACTGGAAAGGCTCACAATACAATAATTCCACTAGACATCATGATTAATAAAATGAGACTTTTTGATGCACTACCAAACTACTTTGTTTTTATTCACTACCGTATTGAAATCCTAGTGTATTGTAATTTTATCAAAACCACAAATTTCAAAAATGTAATTAAGTGAACCACTAAATGGGAGGCACTCAGTGGGATGTTAAGGTCAAAAAGATCGATATTATTGAACAAGTGCTTAAAGCAAAATCGTGCTTTTCATGTCCATTATAGGGCTTGAGTTTGGGGCTATATCTAGCTTTTCTGATTCAAACAATACTCTAATCACTATCATCTAAAGTTGGGATGTGAACTGCTCTACTCATGTTGGGTGTGAAGTAGGGCTTCCATTTTGAGTTATTAACAATATTGTCATGGGCTTTTGGGCCTGTCTTCACACACACACACACACACACAAAAGCCATCTTTGTATGGGCTGCTTTTTGGGATTTAAAATTTTGAAATTTTTTGGTTTAGGATGGAGGATAACGTTATTGTGTTGGCGTCCCGATGGAAAAGCAATTGTTGTGGGGCTTGAAGGCAGAGGGGCCGTTGATGGGGTGCGAAAAGTGCAATCGCACATGGTTTCAAATTTGAAAGGACCCCTAAAATTTTTGTCACCTAATATTTATATGTAATAATATTCTATATTTAAAATTGCTTTTGTTGCGAAAAAATGTTCTATATTCAACAACTGATTTTGTTAGCACGTTAAAATCTCATTTTACACTTCTTATAAGAGTAATTTTTTTTTTCTTTCTAAATACAAAAATTTAGAGTACAATAAGATATTTTGAGTGCCAATAATACACCATAAAAGACGGTATTTTTTCAATATTATTATATAATAATGTTACATATTCAAGTGAAACTTTAAAGTTAGAGTTTTTGAAGTTCGTTTTCTTCTTTGGTTGTTTAAAATTGAACTGCTTTTGATTATTTAGTGAATGTTATGTTTGTAGCTCTTTTTACTTATTATTAATGACATTTTTAAACTTGCAATCAATGAGTGCTAAACTTTGTTTTGATTTAAGTGATTGTTTTCTAGCATCAATACATTTTTCTACATTTTTTAAGACTTATCTTAAGGATGGGCGCTTTTATAAATTTTGCACAGGGCCCCAAAAATCTCAGAGACGGTCCTGCTTGAAGGTGCAACAGTTTCTCTGCATGATGTTGAAGTGAGTAAAGTGTTGATCCACCGACGGGGTTTGAGCCGTCATGTAAGGGCTCAATACATTTTTACTTTTATGGTAAAAGACCACTTGCAGTAAAGTGAGTGTTGATTTTGTGAGTAAAATGTTGATTTTTCAGTTAACACATACGATTGGTACTAATTGGTCAGTAAAGTTCCGAACTTGTCACATTGAATTGCCGACATGCGTAAATTAGCAATATTGGTATGCAAACGATTAGCACGCATACACGGACACAGAGTTAAAGCTTATCATATGAATGTGGACTTATGGTTTTCTACATTTATGCTTTCTAATTTTTTTTTTTTTTAAATTTCTTTGATGCAAAGCAGAATGGAAAGCTATTGAGAAGCTTAAAATTGCATTCCGTGGCTGTTGTTTCACTTAACTAGGAGGAGGATGGACACATGACTAGAGTATGTTGTTGGAGTTTTGAGACCTTTAGTGTCCACATAGGGGAACTCAATGGTCCCAATTGCCCTTATATATCTTTAATCCTTTATATTAATACTTAGGATTTGGACCATTTGGAAATGAATTGAAGGCTTGGGCCTTATGGTTGTGTGGATTAAACTTATATAATATAAAGTTAAATTAATCAGATTCATTAATTTTAATTTCGGATTAAGCTTTTAATTAATTTATTAATTAAAAACATTTTGATTAAGAGATACAGCTCTTAGATAGAGTTGTGTACTTTCAAATACGTTGAACATGTATTTGAAAGGATGTGAAACAACCTATATATTTGCAATCCCAATTTCCAAGAGAGATCATCATTTCTTCATTCTTCTCTTCCGTACAAACTTTCCAAAGAGTAAACACAAAAGCAATTCGCTAGAATTCTATAATCCAGTGCGGGTTGTAGAGTTAGGTAGTTGTATCCTGGTCGAGCAGACGTTGTAGAACCACAAGCACAAGAGTGGTATGAAAATTTTGTTCGAATGACATAGCTTTTGCGCTAGCCTCTACCTTTGATCCATTCAAGTTAGTATTATTTTAGTTTCTGTATTTATTGTGTAATTTCATTTTGTATTGCATGTATTTTTGAATAATAAAGTATAAGTATTCAAGTTATGTATTTCTGTTTCTAAATTGTTCTCCAACATATGTTTCATCCATCTAATTGCCGGCCATGCACCAATTTGAGTTTAATGGACGAAATCAGTTGGTTTTTCTTTACTTGAGCTTTTTTTCGGCACCTTTGCTAGTCTAATCTAAACCATGGAAGATACTTCTCAAACAACCTGTCTAATCTGAACTATGAACCAAATTCAATCAATTATTTTCAGCAATATCAAAATCATATGCACAAAATATGTATACAGTATGTACAAATTCTACCATTTCATGAACGAAACTCAAACATGCCTAACATCTACACATGCAATAAATATGCACAGATTATGCACATAATATGTACCAATTCATGAACCAAATTCAACCAAGTATGTCCAACATCTACACATGCACGGAATATGCACACAATTAAATACTAGTTGTTGAACCTATTTCAATTAATTAATTAATTTCCAGCAACATCAAAAGCACATGCACAAAATATGTACATATTATGCACAAATGAATATCGAACAAACCATGAACAAAATTAACTTCAAAATACATGCATTTACACAACCCAAAACCATAATCCGTTAATTTCCCCCAAATTAACAGTACAAAACACTAAATCACACCCAAAACCCTAAATTCTCAAATTGGGAAAACCTAAGTTCAAATAATGAAATTTCAATTCAAATCGTACCTTTTTTTTTATTTTTTTTATTTTGTCATTGCAATTGTTTGAATCGATAGATAACAAACTCGCCTTGGATGTGAAACTTATAGAAGGGATTGGAAAGTTGGCGCTAGTCGGAAAGTTGTGCTGTTTGGGGGCTGTGATTCTTCAAGTAGGGGGTTAGGCGAGAGAGATTTTCAGAGAAGGTGTAAATGTTGATTGAATTGAAGGAAATAACCCATTTATATGGAAGGGGAATTTGGTATTTTCAAGTTTCAAAAAATCTTATTTCTGTTATATTCTTGTGCATGTCGTGTGCATAACCTATGCATAGTTAAAAAAATCCTATTTTTGATCACAAGATTAAGAAAATAGATCATTTTTGTTAATTTCCCTATATTATATTTTGAAAACTTTTATATTTTCATCTAGTAAATTCTAAAATGAAAAAAAACCTCATTTTGCTTCCAATTTCATCTCGCTTTCTCTAAAGAGTAATGAGAATCTAAATTTGAAGATAAAATTGGTAAACTAAATGATGCGTCATTAATAAAAATTAGTACGTTTACTAAGTAAGAAACCAATAATCAATTTTCATATCTTTTAATTCTAAATTTTGTTTTTAACTCCTAAGTAAGAAACCAATAACCATTTTTCACATTATTGTTAATCCATCTAAGGAAATAAAAAAACCCATTTTCGCTCTAGAGAATCCAAGCGAAAGCAAAAGCATCACGATTAACTCAAAAGCCGAAAGGCTGATGAGGAGGATGACCATGGTGGCCACTGTCACTGCTCCCTATTTCCTCTTGACTGCTGATTACGGCTCCGAGCCCAACGCTCTCGACCCTGTAAGTTCCTTTTTCTTCCCGATCTTCAGAATTCAATTGTTACGAAAAGGGTAGCGAGAAAATGAAAACTTAATCTCTTGTTTCACAGTTTAATTTCTCAGGTCTGCAATTTGAGCTCATAAATTTTGGGGTCTTTCCATTTCGTGTTCGATTTACAATTGTAAGTTGTAGAATGAATGTGGGTTGTGCAACTGGGCTTGTTGGGTATATTTTGTTTTCGCTTTTCGTCGATTTTGTTCACGTCTTTTTAGCAAATTGATAATGTGAGTGAGATTTTGGGTAGTTTTCTCTGCTTGTGTAGTTACCACTCTGTAATTACAAATGTTTTGGTATTTGATTGCTTAAGACACCCAATGCGATCTTTCTATCATTTAGCTATGATTGTTTACGACCACGGCAAAGTTGCGATTGTAAAAAGCTGGAGAAAATGTGATTTAGGAATGCTCTTGGACTGCTATGCTGTGTAGATTATTGAGCACTTCCTTTTTTCTTCCTTGAATGTAGAGCGGAGCATTTTTAATCAGTTAGGAATGATGTGTTTTCCGAAAATTGGTAGTTTAAGGTACCTTTGAGTACCTGAACCTAGTGACTCTAATTGCTTGCATGACCAATAAAAAGAACAAAAGCGAAAAAAAACTTAGTAAATCCTTGATTGCTGTTTTGTCTACATTTGTTATCGTTGCGTATAGTTTTATTTTGCTTGCAGTTCACTGATGTTGAAACGATGGTTTCTCCAACAATTTTTGCCGACCGTAGTTTGTCTTATCTTATGAGTAACAAGCCTCAGGAAGCTCTCAACAATGCAATGCAAGCACAAGTAGTTTCCCAGTCTGGCACTTTGTATCTTATCTTTAGGCTGCTGCCCTTTCGGCCCCTTGGAATGCACAGTGAAGCTCAAGCAGCACTTGTTATGAACTCTGCGTAAGAATGTATTGTTCTTAGGATATGTAAACACAAGTAAATTTATTCATTTGGTGGTTGATCATTATGTGCCAGGCCCTAGACCTGATTCAAGATAGAAATCTTCAGATGCTGACAGATTCTTGCTTGGAAGGACACCTTTCTAGTGATGATGGTACTGAGTTGGCACGCTTGGCTTCACAATGTTTACAATCTGAACCCTGAGAGCAACCAAATCCAAAGTCATTAGTTGCTTCTTTGACTCCTCTTCAGAAAGAAACTGAGGTTAGCTCTCTCTTCTGTTTCTCTAATTAAGCATTATATTCCCAACTATACTCGGGGAGTATAGTTTGACTGTTTCAAATCTTCACACAATTGTTTCTAGATCTATATTTGGGGCAGTCTTGTAAGCAATATATTATACGTTATCTTCTTTTCACTGGAATCAATCTGAGCTATTTGTGTAAGCTCGTATCTAATTATCTGCTGATTCATTCTTGTATTAATACTGAACCTTGTACCAAGCGGAAAAATTTAAAACTTGGGCAAGGGACATGACTCTAATTTGTTATTAGTGAGGACTTGAGAGAGCTACGCTTTTGTTTAGTGCCTTTCATGATGAATGATGTAAACCCTTACGTAAGTTCATATATACTTATTAAATCATATGAAGATCGAACACAACAATGCATATGAACTACGTACTGCAGTAAATGCATGCAGCATTCTTAACCCTAGTTTGAGCATAATGCATTCTGTCGATAGACAATGAATGCATGGAACTTACTCGAGGATGATACCATGAAGATCGAGATGTGATTAAGACCTTCCCTTCTCTTGGTAACGTATTGGATCTCTCTGCTGTCAATAGGACTAGCACTAGCATTAAGAGAACCATGCCACACCCGAGAAAGGGGATCGAAACCCTAGTTATGAGGATGTAACTGCCCCTCCTATCATGGCTGCAGTTACTTTCAGTTTTCCAACTCCTCATAACCGTTCTCTACATCATTTTGTACAAAACTCGTAGTTTTCTCACCTTATATTATACATTGATGGACATGTATAAGTTTCATTACATCATATCTCCTTATAGTAATGTTATTTCATGTCTTTATTAGGTGTTTTGATTCACTTCTGACATATAAGTTCTTACATTCTCCCACATGAGAATGATCAAAACATCTGATGAAATAACTAACAAGTCACCACTGAGATAAAGAGTTGAAATAAATCTTTCAAACATACTCAAAGAAGCATTAGTTGAACTTTAGACAGTATAATACAATTTGTAGCACCATTGGTACTAAAATCACAGACTAATAGCATTCAAATGAGATCATGTGTGAGAATACACTTCTGATTAAGAGAATTCTTCATTACAAGCATTACTCTGACATTGCTTCAAAACATCCTATATATTCTGATTCCATTGTCGAAACAGCCCTTGTGGTTTACATTCTGCTTCTCCATGACACTACACCCCCAGCCATTATAAAAATATATCCACTCGTGGACATTCTATCATCAATGCAGCCTCTCAAATCAGCATCACTATAACAGACAACTTCCAAGTTTTGGACTCGATGGTAACTTAATACATAGTCCTGTGTCTTTTTCAAGTACCTCAGTACCTTTTTGCCTGCATTCCAGTGTGCAATACCAGGATTTGTTTGAAACTTTCCTAGTACACTTAATGCAAAAGCTAAATTAGGTCTGGTGCATACTTGTGCATTCATGACACTGCCAACTAGAGATGCATACGGCTTATCCTTCATAACTCGAATGTCATGTTGAGTTACAGGGCACTGTGAGAGAGAGAACTTATCCCCTTTACCAATGGGGACATCACCCGCACTGCAAGCTTCCATATTGAATCTCTTCAACACTCTCTCAATGTAGTTCTTCTGAGATAGCCCCAAGGTTCCATTCTGCCTATTCTTCACAATCCCAATACCCAAAACATAATGAGCCTCTCCCAAATCTTTCATATCAAAATTGTTACATAGCATTTTCTTGGTTTCAATCATTGACTGCATATGAGAGCTTGCCAATGGTATATCATCCACATATAAAACCATGAAAATGAATTGAGATTTGTGTTGCTTCATGTAGATACAATTATCAATTTTGTTCTCCACAAAACCAAAGGACTGCACAACTTGATCAACACGTTTATACCACTGCCTCGAAGCCTGTTTTAAACCATAAATAGACTTATTTAGCTTGCAAACCAGATGCTCTTTCCCCCCTTCAACAAATCCTAGGGGTTGTACCATATAAATGTCCTCGTCAAGGCTACCATTAAGAAAGGCAATTTTAACATCCATTTGGTGAAGTTCCAAGTCAAAATGAGCTGTGAGTGCCATAATAACCCTAAAAGTCTTTGGTAGAAACTGGAGAAAACGTTTTTGTGTAATCGAAGCCTTCATTTTGTGTAAACCCTTTAGCTACAAGTTGGGCTTTAAGCCTTTCAATCCTGCCATGAGCATCCCTCTTGGTTTTAAATACCCATTTGCACCCTATTGCCTTGGTGTCTGAACCATGAACCAAAGTCCAAACATGATTACTTGCCATGGAAGCAAGTTCTTCTACATTGGAGCTTTCCACAAATCACTCTTAGAACTCTCTATGGCCTGTTTATAAGTCATTGGATCATCTTCATCACCAAGATCATACTCAACTTCTTGTAGATAACACAAATAATCATTTGGTATAGCAGACTTCCTGGTTCTCATCGATTTCCTTAATAAAGGGTTTCCATAGCACTAGCATTAAGAGAACTATGCCACACTCGAGAAAGGGGATCGAAACCCTAGTTATAAGGATGTAACTGCCCCTCCTATCATGGTTGCAGTTACTTTCAGTTTTCCAACTCCTCATAACTGTTCTCTACATCATTTTGTACAAAACTCCTAGTTTTCTCACCTTATAATATACATTGATCAACATGTATAAGTTTCATTACATTATATCTCCTTATGGTAATGTTATTTCATGTCTTTATTAGGTGTTTTGATTCACTTCTCGCATATAAGTTCTAACAAATGATACTCTATGAAATGTCAATCTCTTATGCCCCAAAATTCAGGGTAGTTAACGACAAGGTTTTCAGTGATCGTAGTACTTTAATCATATATAGATGCTTAACATGGTTATCCCACATAGTACCTCCTGGTCTTTTCCTTCACCACTCGGTGAAGCCTGCTCAAGAAGGGATGTGACTGCTATACATGATATACTAGAGAATATCGGCTATAAAGACGATGGAATGACAAATGAGGTCTTATTTTTGTTTAATAAATGGAGAAATATCTAATAAGTTGTGTTGTATATATTTAGCCTTCTCAATAGTTACGCTCCAATGCAACTCTCGTTCCAAATGTGCACTAACCAAATGCTGGAATCATTAGACTCAAAGAAAAGGGGGGATTCTGCTTTTAAGTACAAGGACTTCAAACCACAATTGAGTGTTATTCACAGGTTAGGTTCTTATTATGATACTTGAGGGAAATTCTGAGTAGAGGTTTGATAAGAGTTGCTTTCCTGTTCTACCGATATCCGAATTTGGCCTTCAATAGGATGTTCTTTATCTGACCAGTTAAAATAAATTACTAAACACAGCTTCATACGAAATTTTGTTTGGCGTAAGATTTCTAGTCAGAATACGATCGTTACATTTTATCTTCTAATTCATGATAGGAAGATTTGAAGAAAGGAATTGGTAGTTTAAGGTATCTTAGATTATTTGCATGATCAATAAAAAGAACAAAACTGAAAGAAAAAAAAAATAGTAAATCCCTAATTGCTGCTTTCTCTGCTTTATCGTTGCTGACAGTTCTATTTGACTTGCAGTTCATTGATTTTGGAACAATGGTTTCTCCAACAATTTTTGCCCGGCGTAGTTTGTCTTATCTCATGAGTGACAAGCCTCAGGAAGCTATAAACAATGCAATGCAAGCACAAGTAGTTTCCCCACTGTTTGATATCCTTTCCTATTATATTCTGATTGTATTCATTTATTTTATTTATTACAAATGATGTATTTTGACTCCATCTGTTTGATATCCTTTCCTAGTATATTCTGATTGTATTCGTTTATTTTATTTATTATAAATTTTCAGGATGGCAATCCCAGAATATCCACCTTTGCCCGATGAAAAATAGTAGGGATGGGAAGAGTTATAGTACAAATCTGGCATTTACTCCTCCTGAATATATTAGGACTGGTAGGTAGATTGTGGAAAAAAGCGGCGTTTATTATGATTTACTTGACAAACATCCTTTAAGTATGCAGTTCAGCAATTATTATACACTGCAGATCCCTTGTCTTGCAGGGAGAGTGACACCAGAAAGTGCAATATATAGGTTTGGACTCTATTGATTGATCTTCTCAGCAGAAAGCGTATCCCCTCTAGCCATTTAAGTGATTGTTCCAGTGGTGAACTGAACAAAAATAAAGAAAAAATCATTTGTAGGAAAAGAGAAATTAGGGAAACTCTTGTAAAGATCTAATGTTACTCTTTTGCCTACGATAAAATATAGTTTACTTTCAATTGTTATGAACTTTGCGTGAGGATTTATCCTTCTTAGGATATGTAAACACAAATAAGTAAATTTATTCATCTGGTGGTTGATCATTTTGTACCAGGCCCTATACCTGATTCGAGACAGATATCTTCAGATGCTGACAGATTCTTGCTTGGAAAGACAGCTTTCTAATGATAATGGTACTAAGTTGGCACGCTTGGCTTCACAATGTTTACAATTTGAACCCCGAGAGTGACCAAATCCAAAGTGATTAGTTGCTTCTTTGACTCCTCTTCAGAAAGAAACTGAGGTTAGTTCTTTCTCCTCTGTTTCTCTAATTAAGCATTCTATTCCCAACTTTACCCGGGGAGCATAGTTTGATTGTTTAAAATCTTCACACAATTGTTTCTAGATCTATATTTTGGGGCAGTCTTGTAATCAATATATTCATATGTTATCTTGTTTTCACCAAACTCAATTTGAGCTAATTGTGTAAGCTCGTCGTATGTACCAATTCGTAATTTGTTTGTTAGTTTTTGGTTCGTCAATTTGTGTCCTTTTCTGTTTAGGATTGTTTTAGGGAAAGGGTGCACCAATTCTTCTCCTAAAAGGGCTAGGAAAGAATCTTAGTTTCCTTATTCAATGTAGATTAGAAATCCTAGAAGTCTATTTGGAATTGGAAAGGAAGTCTAAATTCCTATTCCACTTAGAACAGGAATTATAATCTGTAAAGGACATGTAACCCAACCCTATATCTATAAATAGGGTGCAGCAAGGCTGATTTTCAGCAGAGGGAAAACAGCCAAACAGCAGAGAGGTTTGAGATTAGTTCTAGGGTTTGCATAAGTTCTGTAATCTCTATTATTAATCAAAGAAGCGGTGATTTCTCTACCTAGGGAAATCACAACTGGACGTAGGCATAAGTTCTGCCGAACCAGTATAATTCTTGTGTGTTTCTAAGTTTTCTATATTTGCTAGTTTAGTCTATTGCCGTTGGTTACATCAAAGAACAAGGTCCAGTGTGCGGGGTTTTTTTTTTTCAACATTGTTAATACTGAACCTTTGTACCAAGCGGAAATATTTGAAAAATTGGGAAAGGGATATGACTCTCATTTGTTATTAGTGAGGACTTGAGAGAGTTACACTTTTGTTTAGTGCCTTTCATGGTGAATGATACTCTCTTATGGCCCGAAATTGAGGTTGGTTAATTACAAGGGTTTTCAGTGATACCGTACTTGTTGGGTATCCTGAATTGCTGCTTTCTCTGCATTTGTTATCGTTGCCGACAGTGTTATTTTGCTTGCAGTTTATTGATGTTGGAATGATGGTTTCTCCAACCGGGTGTAGTTTGTCTTATCTCATGAGTGACAAGCCTCAGGAAGCTATAAACGATGCAATGCAAGCACAAGTAGTTTCCCCACTTTGGCACATTTCATGTTATCTTCAGGCTGTTGCCCTTTCGGCCCTTGGAATGGACATTGAAGCTCAAGCAGCACTTAAGGAGGGTACTACGCTTGAATCCAAAAGGAGTAAAGCAGTTGGACAAAAGTGAAAATCTAGTCCGGTCGATCGATCATAAGGTTTAAAACCACTGGAGCCAAAGCTTCATCATTTCCATGGTATTAGATTTTGGTCATTTGCCTGCAGTATATATTGTATTTGATTTGATTTCTTGTGTGTCACTTCGCGTATATGAATTCCTTCGACAAAATGGAAAGAAAAAGTAGAAAGTTGTTAAAAACAGTGGTAGGGAGGAAATCGTTCAGAAGCTTTATAATTTGTGTCCAGAAAGCATATAGGATTCCTACTTGGATAAATAAATAAATAATAATAATAATAATAATTAGTTTGTCAAACGTCATTTGATTGTTGTTAGACACAGATATAAATTACTACTTGGATACAAATAAAAAATAAAAAGTTAACCCTTTGAACTAAAATTTACGACGAACAAAATAATCATATGCAGTCCATAATTAACTCACTTTCTTTGGTAAATATCATGATTCTAAACATAATCTGCAGAATGGTCTTGATAAAGTAAACATAAACATAAACATCTTACAAACAACTAACATTAACAAAACATCTGCCAAAGAGATTTAGTAGTAAAGTTCTTTATTGTGACAACTCAATACTTGAAAACTTAAAACAGATAAGGCCCATGAAGCTCTTCTAGTGAAGTGAGCCATTTTGTGCTATCTCAGAAGACGCTGAAAATAAAAATACACAAACGCACGTAATTAAGTTCTGAAGAAGACAGCCAAATCAATAAGAGACAAATAGATGCATGCATATCGCTAATTTAAGAAAGAAAAGTAAAATCACATTTACATACCATTGCTTAATTGAAGTGCCGCTTGATCGAAATCACCCTCAGATAAAGCCAATCATTCAAGACATTCAAGAACCTGATGTACGAGTATCTCCATTGCCTAATGAAAATCAGACTGCCACAAACTCCCCAAAATCCAACAATAAAACCAAGCGCCATGCTGACGTAAAATCCCCATGTTATAAGCTCATCCTTTTCTTCTTCATTGCTTGAGATCATGGTTTCCTGTTGATCATCACACATATTTTGAAGTGGAGGTCCGCACAGTTGAGGATTTCCAGCATAATTAGAGAGATTAAAACTTTGGAGCTGAGTGCCTGTTGGAATTTTGCCAATAAAATTGTTGTATGACAAGTCCAAGACACTAAGACGATCTATCCGAGCAAGGCTTGTTGGAATTCTGCCATCTATCTGGTTTCTTGACAAATCCAGGATCTCCAATGCTTGCAACTTTCCAATCTTTGCAGGTAGCTCACCTGTCAATCCGTTTATCGACAAGTTTAAAGAATTTAACCCAACAAGATATGTGATTTCAATTGGAATCTCCCCCGTTAACCTATTGCTTGAGAAATCAATTCTCTTCACAAGTCCCAAAGTGTTTTTGTACGAGTACACTCTTCCCTTCCATATGAATGTTGCATCATCCTGATAAACAATATAAGCATCATTTGTTGGCAACAAATGTTCAAGGGTCGGAGATGAATTTCCTATCTGTGCCAGAGCAGTCAAATTGCTGAGGCAGTTTGGTATTGCTCCAGAGATGTTGTTCACAGACACATCCAAGTTTTGAATTTTTGTTAGACGGCATAGTTCAGACGGCATGCTTCCGTTGAAGTTATTAGAGGAAAGCATCAAGATAACCAAATTCTGAAGGCTAACCCCTAACCATTTTGGTATGGGTCCTGATAATTGATTGTTTCCAACATCAATAACTTGTAAACTGGTGCAATTCTTGAAGGATGAAGGTAACTCTCCAATAAATCTGTTGCTTCTTAATTTCAATGTTTCCATTTGATATAGTGAGCCTACTGTGGATGGAATTTTCCCCGAAAAAGCATTGTAGCTCAAATCAAGCATGACTAGATGGTCAAAATGTGTCAAGCATTCTGGAAGCTCTCCGGAGAGATTGTTGCTTGAGAGATTAAGAAACATTAAACTCCTGTATGCATCACGAGTCATACCCCAAAACCAGCTTGGAAGGATATCCACAATTCCAGCATCAGAAATATCGAGGTATGAATACTCATTTTGAGTTTGAAGCCATTTTGGAAAATGCGGACCCATTTTGCAAGACCTCAAATATATATACCTCAGTTTAAATGGAGGAACCCAATTAGAACTGAAGTTTAAAACTAGCAAGTTGGAGGACAAATCCAAAGATGTTAATCTAGAGAGATTCGAGAAGTGGCTTTCCGAAACCACACCTTTTAGAGCATTCATACTCAAGTCCATCTTCTCTAGATTAGACAGTTGCCCAATACTTTCAGGTATTGTTCCACTCAATTGATTTGTAGAGAGAATTAATAGTTTCAACGATGAAAAGTTTGTGAGATCAGGAATTGATCCAGAAAGATGATTGTTAGAGAGGTACAGAGTCTCTAATGAGTTTTGAACACACGTAGACAACATTTGAACAAACTTGGAAAACTGTCCACTCAGACCAGTATAGTCTAGGAACAGTGATTGCAAACTGCATAAGCTGGAAAAAGAATGCGGATTCACCGTGTCAAATTTGTTCCAAGAGAGATCTAGAGAGACAAGAGAGGTCAAGTTTTCAACGACACTGGGAATTAAACCAGTTAAACTGCTGCTACTGAGGTCAAGATAGACAAGGCTGGCATTGTAGTTTGACAACCATAAATATATTGAAGGAGAAGTGCATTGGTTGTCAGAGAGGTCAACATGAGCAAGAGATTTTGAAGAATTTATGTTAAAAAGAGTACTGGAATGGATTACAGGAGAAGGAAGACCACACCACTGTAACGTTAAGTTTGTAAGTTTAGGGAGCTTACTAACTGTTTCCAGCCAGTCATGAACATTACTGAGATTGGTGCCACTCAGATCCAAATATGTTAAAGAAGAAAGACGAGGGAGCCACGAATTCAGATTTTCTGCACCGTTAAAGTCATTCCATCGGAGATCAAGATATTGCAAGTGGGTAAGGTTTCCAACTTGACTTGGAAATCGACCACCAAAAGAAGCAAAAGAGAGATCGAGGTGTCTTAAATTGGAAAGAGAACCAATGAAATATGGAAGTCGGGTCCCATTGAAGTTGACTCTATAAAGGTCCAAATATTTCAAATGCTGCAATTCAAGTAGTTTGGGACTCATCATCTTACCTTGCAAAAAATAATCGATGTACTGCCTGTCTGCTTTCTGTTGATGTGAGTAAGATTCATTCAAATAAGACCATCCAAGATGAAGTTGAGTAACATGGTTGGTTCGGTTGCTGCAGTGGACGCCGACCCATTTGCAACAATCCTGCTTGTGTTCTTCTCTTCCCCACGAAGAGAGGAGATGGTAGTGATCCACGAGGCCGTGTTTGAAAGCAAGGAGTGCTTCTCTTTCCCTCTCAAAGCACCTCACCACTCCTTCTGAAGAAATATTTTTGAATCCAAGGGAAAGGGAAGGGTTGACAGCACATTGCAGTAAAGTGAACACCACAATTAAAGCACGAAAGAGTTTGTTCAAGCACCTGATTCTATCACCCTCCATCTTAATTCAACTAAATCAACCAAGAGACAATTGAGGATTTTGATTTAGGAGGAAAAGGAAAGCTGCAAGTGTAGTTGAAATGAATGGTGAGGACTCAAGGGGGTATGAAAAACCCCCGACACTGTATTCGCCTTACCCTTTAGCACATGTGCTGCTTCCTCAATAGTCAAAACTCAAAAGGACAGGCAGGGGTCCAGGGATACAATTACTCAAAATTGCTTTTGTTTGTATTTTTGTTTTTTTTTTAAATTTGTAAAATGTCAGATAAATTTATACCTCTTTCTTATTTGTCATATAAATTAAAATTTTAAGCGATTTGTCGTATCAAGTTTCAAAAAATCATTAATTTGTCACTTCACCAAACTCCGTTAAGTTTTACATACAAAATAAGTCATGTGCAAGTTTTGAACTTTTCAACTCTCCTTTTTTTAATGAACATGATTGACCACGTTGAATTCTCAAAACTTGTAATTAGTTAAACTCCATATTAGTGAGCCTAATGTACCTTTTTAATATTTCACCATAAGTTTACGAAACGAACGAGTGATCTTTTTTGTACCAAAAGATAAAGAACTTGTAAAAAGGAAGTCAAAAGTTGAAAACCAATTATCATCCAACCCTACATATATTTTTGTATAAAAAATAAAAAATAAAAAGTGTTACTACACCCACCCATCAATGCTATCTTATCACCCACTTTATATTCTCACCTACCATAAAACGTTTAAAACACCTAATACTCTCTTGGCACCATCGATTATTCCTAGAACGTCTTTGATACATTCTTTCAACTATTTTCCTACAAAAAACAAAAAAATGAACTTCAAAACCACACCATCCAACCCAATTCAATGGCAACCCCCTTCCCACTGCCAGCCAACTTTTTCTCTTTGGAAATTTGGAGGAAGAGGGGGCCTTGACGTGGCCCATTTCAATGAGAACGAGGAAAATGAGCAACATTCTCGGTCAAATCGATCGTCGTTTCTGGACTGGTAAGGACGATTTGGGTTACGGTTGAGTTTGTTTATTTGTGGGTTCAATTAAGATGGAGAAAAGAAAAAATTAGGTTGGGGATGAGACCTCAAAACGGTGGAAGATGGTCTCCGTCAGATTGGAAGGGGTGGGCGTGGCTCTTCGCTTTCCTTCTAATTTTCAATTTTTGTCTTGTTTTTTCTTCTAATTTTAACAAAGCAGCAACTAGAGCTAGTGTGTTGATTGCATCCGCCATTTTTTTTTCCACAGCTTCTCATATCCTTCTCCTCAAATCTCTCTTTTGCTTTTTGGGACTTATCCTCCATAATAAAGGTGTTAAAAAAATAAAAATTGGAAACAAAATGTTGAATTTATATTATTTTGGCCATAAAAAAAAAAAAAAAAAAGATAATAATGAATTCGGTTAGGGTTTCAAAAGTCATTTTACAAAAGGTTAAATATATCATTAAAATTGAAATTTCGTTGTATTGTGAAGATTACTTGTGGAAATTTGGTACTGGAAGAATCATTGCGTGGGAGTGGGAGTGGGAGTGGGAGTGCATCAGTGTTAATATTATTGCTTTCTTTTCCCCCCAGACAGATATATCTTTTTGACGAGAAATTGTTTTTATGTTTTTTATTTTTTCTACAACGATATATTTTTACAATAAAATTAAATTTGAGCGCTCAAATTTTACATTTAATTACATTGTGGGACTTCAATTTTTAATTAAAAAGCTTCAAATTTTGATTAATGTGCTTCAGCCTTTTTCTATAACATTTCTTAAATTTCCAACTCAACATTTTATATAAAGTTTAAAGAAAATAAGTGTTTTTTATTATTAAAACCGAGGGAGTTCCTAAATTTATGGCAATTGAAATAAATTTGAACCTTCTAACAATAGATGCCACGAAGATTATTTCTTTTTCAAGTAAAGTAATATTTGGGCCACTTACTTTAGTGTAATGGTATTCATTTTCATTTGTAAGTAAGAAATTCTAGGTTAGCTCAAGTTTTATAATATCGTTTGTTAAAAAAAAAAAAAAAAAAAAATAATTTGTTACTTAGTACTACGATCTGGTGGTATTCTTCTTTACTTGTAATGAGAGGTCTTACGTTCGATTCTCGCCAAATGAGAGTTTGAACCATAGTATTGCTAGTCAATTATGAGCCTAAGCCTACCATGTCCTCCTTAATTTTGATAATATCATTTGTTAAAAAAAAAAAAAAAAAAATTATATTTGAGTTATCTTTCTCCAGTTCATCTACCATTTCACAGTACTAGAAAGGTAAGCCTACAATTAACTGTCATAAGCAATACGTACAATAGGTGACCAAAACATAGCCTTAATTATACAGAACTTAATGTTTCCACAATTCAAGTGGGAATACATTCCCACTTGTATTGACTTCATAACTTAGTAATTTAAAGTCTTGGTCCTTGGAATTATTAGTTCAGACAATACACTATTTGTTGACTTGTAATGCATGCATAAAGTTGGATGAAATCTATACACTTAGGATTTATTATTCATTTTAAATGTTGTTTGCCTTAGCCCTTTGGCATGTGTGTGATTCACTTGTAGTTCATGCATAAAATTAGACAAAATCTATAAGATCGATTAGTCAATTAATTATAGCAAATAAATAGGCAGTTTATAATACTTTTACTCATTTGTTTTTATATAATTGAATCACTAAATGATTTCATATTTTATTATTTTATTTAGATATGATCTTTACAAAGTATTTTATAATATAAATAGTTTCTATTATAAATACAAAATTTCATGAATTGAAAACTAAGTATCTTGAGGAAGAACTTGTTTGAACCTAAAATATGCACATTTGGGCCATTCGGGCAAAATATGGTATTTGGAGGATTATTGTGCAAAAAGACTAACTTGGAAGATATTTGGCTACATCAAGGGAGATAGTTTGACATTAAAATAATGTTTTTCCCTTTTGTTTGGGTGGTGGAGATGTGCCAAGAGATTTGTTTAATCAAGACAAATGCATGCTTTTTCATTGCAAGTGCATGGGCAAACACCATGCAGGTTTTCGGGCAATGAATATGTGGTGAAAGAAGCTAGCTTGCTTCTTTTAATTACAGACACCATGCAGGCTTTCAGGCAATGAATATGTGGTGAAAGAAGCTAGCTTGCTTCTTTTAATTATTTTATTGCAAGTGGGAAATAGACATGTGGTGGAGATACAAACTTGCTTATTTTACTATTATTTCACAATGCAAGTTGGCAGTGGAGTGCATTCAGGCATGTTCTATGTTCTCAGCAAGAGGTTCTCTCAGATCTCTATATAAAGAAGTAGAAGCACAAGGATTATGGACACTCAAACAACCAATCAATCAACTCTACTTAAATCAGCTCCTTAGTTTCCTTGTAGACATTTCCTTTTAGCCAAGCACCCTTTACTTTCCTTGTTTATTAGCTCTGCTGCTCACCCGGTAGTATCGATCTCCTTTATAGTTTATGTACAACTCATTTCCAGTCATTTAAATTACAAGTAATCTACAATTCCAATCATTTATTTTCGTCTGTCATTTATACTTCCAACAAACCTGTCATTTACATATTGTTACATTTCTCCACATAAGTGAAGTCCTTATTTTTAAGGCAAAGAAAGAACCTTGATTTGAGCCACTCCCACAGCACAATTTCTTGGTTTGAAGTTGAACTCAAGCGTAGTCTCAATCATTCAAATCCCGTCTACTCGCGGCATCTAGTAGTGGCACACTCGCACCCGCCTATTTCATGTTCAATAAATTTCTGGCATGCCCGCGAGGCCTATGGCGAATTTATGGGGCGAACAGAACTTTCTTCATCCATTGAGCCATGAATGAAGTTAATTCATAATGTTAAATCTTCGTACCTAATTTGTATTTCGTAGTGTAATTATTGACTTGACTTTGAAAAATTAAACTTCTTCACATCCTGTGTGTCTTTAACTTTTTTTGGGTTACCGACGTAAATGATGCAAGTAATTAACTGAGATGTTTTTTATTTTTTTTTATTTGTAAGGAATTAACTGGGATGTTGATGGGGATTGAGGAGATGGTAGCAGCTGTGGTGGGGGTTTAGTGAAGAACCCGGATCCTCTCCGGATCCTAATATCCTAAGCCTAGGGATTATTTAATCCGGCCGTTGAAATTTGATCCAACGGCTATAATTATTATAACTTTTAGGATCTCTAGGGTTAGGATATTAGGATCCGAAGAGGATCTGGGTTCTTTAGTGAAAGGATAACTGATTTTATTTTATTTGTAAGAAATTAACTGAGATTTTCTTAGCACACTAAAAATTTTACATCAATGTGAGTTAAAAGATAACCTATTTACTTTTGAGCAATTTCCATTCAATTTAAACTCTAACGACCTTTTAAATCATTCAGAAAACCATTTTCACAAATTTTCCACTCGTGTAGAAAGTCTTTGGGTCATTTGTGATTGCTGTGCTTTTCTTTTTTTAACAGCTTATGTTGTATTTTAAGAAAAATCAGTTGTAAAATAAAGCAGTTCAACATTTGATAAATTGTATATTTATAAGTGCGAGTATAACAAAAAAAAGTGTATCAGCGTTTGATAAATTTTAATATAAAAATGATATTATTGTATATAATGATAAATATAGACATAGTAGTTGGGATTGTGACAACACCAGTGATGGTGGGGATAGTGCCAATGATGGAGGCGGCAATTGTGGGGGATTTGGTGGTTGTGACAA